ATAGAAGGTGGGGGAGCCTCATGATGCCCCCTCTATAGATCCTGCCCGCCTTCTGTGGTTTCTACTTTGAAGTGATTTGAATGACACTGGGAAAAATGCCTCATCCATAATGAAAAGAATTTAATAATTGAGTGGTAGCCACTTAACTCTGTCTGAAAGTTTAGTTCCGCTTTCCTTTCCAAGATCTGTGGCCCATCTCAGATTGCTACTCTCTCTGTTTAGATGAGATGATGAAAAAGAGAAATGGAAAGCATCACATGTCAGACTCAGATGCAAATAACTATGTCGTGACAGTAATGTTACTCTCCAGAAACTGAGCACATCCTCAATCAAGATGCTCAATGTCCTGGCAGCTTGTTAAATAGGACTGGCAGTAAAACCCTCATCCTGAAGTTCCTGACATGAGCCACACTCAGTTGCTTATTTTGTTACTTTTCCCTTAAGGAAGTGTCAGCCCATTTTCAATCAGGTTCTACAGATTTGATCAGGGATGTTACCCTCTCAAACCATCTCGTTGTGCTATTGTCAAAGGAAGACGGGGTCTTCAAAGATAGGACAGAGCAGTGTAGACACTTGGGCAATTCCAATGAGAAAGCAACCTGCTCTGGATCAAAATATTTTCCTATACTATATTAAAGTTTCCTTCAAAATTACGGTTTAGTCTGACGTTTGTCACATTCTGTCTGCAAATTCCCCATCCCAGCCTTTGATGAAAATCCGACAGACGTCTTGGTGCCCTTAGAAATGCACACTTTATATTAACTTAGGAAACCTTATCCTAATTAGATTGAATCCTTTTTTATCATCTCATCAACATCAAGTTAGGAAACGTGTCCCTGGGACACAGTCTTTTGGCTCTTTAAAATGTCTATAGTTAGCGCTGGGTGAGAGGTTGAACAAATGTTTGTTAAATGAATGAATAAATAAAAGGATGAATGATTTGGGTTCTCCCAACATTCTGGGTTGTCAAGTGGAAACGGAACAGGCTTTGGAACCTACTCATATTAGGATACAAACCCTAGTTCTGCTACTTGCTACCTGGTTTTCTTCAGGCTTCTGTGGGGTCTCCACGCTGAAAAGGGAGGCAGCCCAGGGAAAGTGGCTGCATTAGTTTCCTATTGCTGCTGTAACAAGCTGCCACAAACTTAGTGGCTCAAAAAAACAAAACCAACACAGATTTATTACATTACAGTTCTGAAGATCAGAAATCCATAATGGGTTTCACTGGCTAAAATCAAGGTGTTAGCAGGGCTGTGTTCGTTCTGGGGGCTCCAGGGGAGAATCCATTTCCTTGTCTCTTCCGGCTTCTAGAGGCTGCCTGCATTCCTTGGCTCATGGTCTCTTCCTCCATCGTCAAAGCCTGCAGTGTAGCATCTTAAAATCTCCTTCTGACTCTTCTACCTCCCTCTTCCATCTTTAAGGACCCTTGTGCTTACATTGGGCCCACCTGGATAATCCAGGATAATCTCTCCATCTCAAGGTCCTTACCTTAAATCACATCTGCAAAATTCCTTTTGCCATGTAAGGTGACATACTCATAGGTGCCAGGGATTAGGACATGAATGTCTGTGGGGGTCCATTAGCCTGCCTACCACAGCAATCATGCAGCCAGTGGCTACACTTATCGGATTAGTCCAACAGTGATGGGAGGCACCTCCATCCCTCTCCAGGGTATCATACATAAAGCATAAAAAAGCACACCCCACGAAGCTCCCCCCACCATGAGAACAGGGGCTGGTTGTCTTCTTAAGAGGAATCTAGTTCTGCCTGGGGGTGACTGACTGGTCTTTCCACTGTGGGGCAGTGGAATGGTCTGGGCTCTCCTTAGGACTCTTTAGGTTTTGTAAGACAGTGACAACTCCACCCTAGCTTGGTTGAGTGTTCACCTAAATGGATGTGCACTTGGCCAATAGTCTTTCCTATAGCGGTAACCTTGAACTCAGTGCTGCACACTACCTACCAAATCTTGGTTGGGAGAAACGCTATTCAAGGAGACTCTCTCACCTGAGAGATGGGCAGTCCAACCACACCTTTAAACTGTTCACAGATTAAGCCAGACTACAACATTTTGGTCCCAGGATATTTGCTTTCACTAAATTTTGTTTCACTTTGGTGCTATTAGACTACATTAGGGACACATCATAAGAAAAAGCACCACAGAAATACGTGAATTTACTATGACAATTTTGTTGAGGATGTTCATAGCATGTCTGCATACATTTCTTATGAGAAACCATAGAGAAGTATTTCCCCGGTCTCAAAACCCAGTACTAGTTATGGTTTTCCCTAGTAACTGGTTTGTTTCCATCCAACGCACACTAGCTCACAGGGCTGACCATTTTTCTCTATTTGCACCCACTATTAGGAAGTGAAGAGCCAAGACTTGTCCATCTTTGCCAAAGCTTTAGGACATCATAGCCTAAGACATCATAAGCCTAGGACATCATGGTACATTATGTGCACCAACTTATTTCCCTACCTTCATTGTCTCTTTCCCCAAGTTCAATCATCTGGTTCACATTTTAGTTCTTATTGTTGTAGTGTCCGTAAGCCCAGAATAAGGCATGGCAAAAACTCATTTCCCAAGATTTTTTTTCTCTTTTGTGAGACACATGCCCCTGATACATTTCTCTTTGTTCCAAGAACAAAGTCAAATGAAAAAAAATAAAAACATCAAATGAGACGTCATCAGTGCTGATGTTTAAACACTGACTCTCAGCAGAACTGAGTTTAGTACCATTGTAAAGACAGGAGCTTATGCTGAAATATGAAAATGGATCTCTAAAGCTTTGTATGCCGAGCACACTAAGATCGTAAATGCCAGCGTTCTAAATGGATTGCTTGCTGTTAGCAGATTCATTGACACTGAGACCCATTTCTTTTCTAAGAGATGTTTAACTTTTATTATATCTTTACTCATGGTCAAAAGACATCGGCAAATTTGCTAAAGTGATTAAAGATATTCCTCTAAAGGCATTCCTAAAGTTTTATGTCTTTGTCTTCACGTTTTTGTACATGAGCCTGCCCTCTTAGAAAGGAAAAACAGAAAAGTGCTTTATAGCATGTAGGGTTTTGATAGTTTTAGAAAGCCAAGATTTTAAAAAAACATTAACGTTAGCAGAACCTCCAGTGAAAATATCTTCAAGATAGACCCAACCGGAAGAGTTCATCTCTGAGTTCATCAAACCACAGAATCACCAACACTGAGAACCTCTCAAACCCTATTAGATGCTGTATCAGGACCTTCTCTTTTTAATCTCTATACCCATAGAGTCTAGAATATAGCGTGAGTTCCATAAATACTTGTTGAATTAATGAGTGATATCTCTCACTCTCAGAAAGATTAGCTGTCTACTGCAACCTCAGCAGACCATGATGACAGGAACATGGTACTTGCCATGTGGCAGGTGGGCAATATGTACTAAATGACTGGCATTAAGACACATCCGAACCACAGAGGAACTTTCTGCCATGCCGGAACTCCAGAGCAGCAATTTTTATTTCCTTCATTTTTTCCCTAGTCAAAGACACACCTGACAGATGACATTTGCATGTGCAACCACTTTCATTGGTATGCTTAGGTTTATGTGTAATTCCCATTGTGACAGTAAAATCTCTGTCTATCTTGCTCCCGCTCAAGAAAATATATCAGAACACAAATGAATATAGATATCATTAATCTGGGAACAATCTCTATTCCATGCCAGTTTATTGAAAAAGTAAATCATCTGCCATTTTGGCTTTTCAGACAACAGTAGTAGTACCTGACTTATGAGGTATCTCACAATGATTGACATAACAGTTCATTGTGACACAAAGCTGAGAGTGCTTCTCGACAGAAACCATCTCTGAAACTCACTGAGTCCTGATACGCCATCTTGGAGACCTTTCCAAACTCCAGAAAAACCATATTTATGAGGCTTACCCTAACCCCAGCACAATCATCTATATGAGCTCCACCATCCATGTGAACTTCACCAGAACCATAGAGATCATCCCTATTAATGGACATAGCTCACACAGGAATCTCATTGTCAACTGGGTATCACTCCACTTTCACCATTATGACTTTGAGGAAGAGGACTCACAAGCGGTCAACTTACCACACCACCGCCAGCCGAGTGCACGAGCACGGACATCCCTTCTCGGAGGTTGGCAACTTCAAAGAGCATCATGTAGGCTGTGACGAAGTTCATGGGGAACGCAGCAGCCTCGGAGAAGCTCATGTCATCTGGGATCTTGTAGACAAATTCCACTGGCGTGCAGACCACCTCTGCCCAGGCATTGTAATTGACAAATGCCATGACACGGTCTCCAATCTGGGCACAGGGAAGCACTGGGTTAGTGGAGGTTTCTTAATCTTTTTTGAGGGATTTCTCAAATACTCCTAAGAATCTGAAAACTATAGATTCCATCCCAGAAAAAAAAGCCCCGAATCCTCAACTATGCACACCCTCACCTGCCTCCCAATTTCAAGGCATTTGTGGATACAAGGAAGCCCATCTATGAAAACTTCCCAGGGGCTGTGCAAGCCAGGTTCTCTACTCCTCTTCTCAAGCATGAAGATAGAATGTGCATCACATCACACATCGCGGCATGTTAGGTCATTTTATTGACTCAACCTCTCATCCAATCCCTGTTTTGGAGTTGAGGAAACCTCAGCCACAAGGAAGGTTGAAGGGGCAGGGCCAGGAGTAAAATCTACTCTCATTTGTTCTCTGCCACCCTATGTGGATTCCCTGCCAGGCTAGTTCACTGTGGTATTGGCATCAAAGGTTAGCACTGGATTACCGATTGCCATGGATGTGAACTGTAGTGCACCAGAGGAGCCATGTAAATCCAAGTGCAGGAGACTGAACAACAGCAATCAGGCTCCGAGAGAAACAGGAGAATGCCACCGAGTGTGACGAACGGCAACTAACATTTATTGGACACATATTATATGGCCTAAGGGAGTCACGTGTTTTAACTCATCTAATCCTTACAAATACCCTCTGAAGGCATGGCTGAATCTGTGCTCTTTTTATCAGTATTTTACACAGCCAGACACCACGCAGTAAAAAGAGCAGTCTTACCTTTAAAGTGGTTATGATGGTATGCTAAGTTTTTTTCATAGCATATCAGTAATAAAGGGAAATAAGTAAACTAGTAGAAATAGCTTGCATGAGCTGCCAAGTGCTAGTTAAATTGAACCATTCTGCTGTTCGATGTTAGTTGTTCGTACTATGACTATCAAATGCAATATACAAGTTGCTGTGGTCATAGGGAGTTCTCAATAAATTAATGGCTTTCATATATGTATGTTTTAGTTTACACAGTCATGCACTGCATAATGATACTCGGTCAACGACAGACTGCATACATTATGGTGGTCCAAAAGATCAGTACCATATAGCCCAGGTGTGTGGTAGGCTACACCATTTAGGTTTGTTTAAGTACGCTCTATGGTGTTCGCACAATGATGAAATCACCTAATGACACATTTCTCAGAATGTATCTCCGCTGTTTAGCAATGCATGACTGTATATATTTTTATAATTGATTCTCCTGCTTTACTTTCTTTGTATCTTAGCTTTTCTCTTCTACTTCTATCCAACGACAATAACAAAAGCCTTCCATGAGATGGGTTCTGTAAGAGCCTCATATTACAGATGAATGATTATAGATTTCATAGACATTTAAATTGAGGCAAAAAGAGATTAAAGCACATGCTAGAGAGTAGCTGGGCCAGGATTTGAATCTAGGTCGGCTGACTCCAGATACAAATAATTAATTCATTACACCTGAGATAAGTGCTACCAAGAAGACATAAAGTTAAATAAGGTGTACAGCAGAGGAACCAACCAAGTCTGGGAATATTAAACTCTTTAAGACTCAGTATCCTTAGCTCTAAAATGGGTATAATATTAGGAAAGAGTCCTTATGAAGATTAAATACCATAATATGCATGCAGTCAGTTGGCACAGTGCCAGTAAAAATGAGGAAAGAGCAATCAATATTAACTCTTAAAAAGAACAGATTGGATGGGGCTGGCTCCGTGGCCAAGTGGTTAAGTTCGCGCGTTTCGCTGCAGCAGCCCAGGGTTCGGATCCTGGGTGCGGACATGACACGGCTCGTCAGGCCACGTCGAGGTGGCGTCCCACATCCCACAACTAGAAGGACCTGCAACTAAGATATACAACTATGTACCAGGGGGGGTTAGGAAATAAAGCAGGAAAAAAAAAAAAAAAGAACAGATTGCTTCCTGAGCTCATGGAATTCATAGTTTAATGATCAAAAGCTCAATATAGACCCATTATATTTCATGAAGCTTTCTAATGAAGGAATAGCAGTCTAGTGAAGACACTGATGGAAAGGAGAGGCTGTCTCACTGGCAGTGAGTATCCCAAGCCTTGGAAGGGTTGAAGACCAAATGATGCATGTTGGGAGTATCATCTTAAATGCAATGGCTTGGACCAGAGGATAACTAAGGTCTAGCTCTGGCATCCTCTTCTGCAGAGAATCATGAAAACTCAGAGATGCACAGTACCAGAGAGTAGCTGATGGCCTCCAGTGTCGACACAGAGTGGATAAAGCGTATTTCTTTTTTTTTTTTTTTTTTTTTTTTTTTTTTAAGATTTTATTTTTTTCCTTTTTCTCCCCAAAGCCCCCCGGTACATAGTTGTATATTCTTTGTTGTGGGTCTTTCTAGTTGTGGCATGTGGGACGCCGCCTCAGCGTGGCTCGACGAGCAGTGCCATGTCCGCGCCCAGGATTCGAACCAATGAAACACTGGGCCGCCTGCAGCGGAGCGCGCGAGCTCAACCACTCGGCCACGGGGCCAGCCCCGGATAAAGCGTATTTCAACCACCTTGACAGTGATGGTCACAGCCATCACAGCAGGGCTGACTGCTCCAGGTCTCTCATTCAACTTGGCTCCATCTTTTCCATTTCATTATCAAAATGGCAAAAGGAGCTAAGCAATCAGATCAGCCCTAGTCTCAGAGTCCAGAGGTAGGCACCTTTTTTTAAATATCCACTTCACCTCATTATTTAATTCTGCCAAGAAAAAGAAATTAGTTCTGGGCAAGTGAGCCCAAATTATTCCTTCACTGCTTTGCCTCTGGCAACAACTTTTCAAGCCTCCCTTGCAACTGATCAACTAAGAGAGCTATTCAGTGTGCTGCCGCATGGAATTCTATCTTCAACACAATTGAAAATCTTAAATCAAAATTATAGATACTATTAGTATTGGCTTTTCTCCCAAATCACACCCTGACTGGAAACCTGAGATGACGTCTATTTCTTTGTGCAGCCGAAAGTCACTGGAGGAGAGTGGGCATGAAGGGTAGGTTTGACTATAAGTAAGCCAGGGCTCACTGGAAGATGAAAGATCATATATAAGGGAAAATATATATAATCAAGCATAGCAAGTCTTCCCTCTAAACCAACGCCAACAACATCCATATCTATGTTATATTCTAAAATAATGGGTGATTTATCCAATACTCATAGACTAATAGAGTGAGCAGTATGGTGTTTTCCTCTGGGACCATGTGGAGGAGTGACAAGCAGATAAAATTTCTTATATGCAACACTTTTCAGGGAGAGGCGGTGTTGCCTCTGGTTATATTGCCCACCTGGGGACAGAAAATGTAAAATCATGTGAAAGAAAAGAAAAAGCTCATTTAGTTCTTCTTTCTCCACATTTCTCTGCTGTATTATCTGGAAACCATTGACAAAAAGACTGATGAGTGGGATGAGTTTCTAGACGTCCATCATAATGAATTTGGATCACACTGATATTTTCAGTGTACTGAGGCTCGGATCGCACTGAGACCAAGCAGCAGCTCAAATTCAATTCCAAGGGCATGTTGGCATTGCATTTTATAGGATTTTTCTTCCTGCATTTAGTATCGCAACATTTGCAGGCTGGGAGCAGGGGTAAATGTCCTGGGATTGTAGGAAGAGTAAACAGGCTCTGGTGACTTGAATCTAAGTTCAACTACTACTTACTACCTTTCTGATCTCACGGAAAATTAGTGAACCCTTCTGAACCTTGTCTCCATGGGGATAATAACAACTGTTACCTCGCAGGCTTGTTGTGGGGCTGAAAAAAGATAACTTGCCCATGTTTCTCGTTGCGGTAGATTCTCAAATGTGGCTCCATTCATTTCTCCCTGGGGAGGCACTTTGTTAGGAGTGAGAGCTCTTGTACCCGATTTCCATTATTTTTCCTCACTCCAAACTACTGCAATTTCGTGCGATTGATTTGCCCACAGTTTTTCAGTTATTATAGATGGGATTCTATCTGATTTGCATTATAATGGTAGGAAGGGTCATATATCTTTTCACTGATTAAAAAATTTTTATTATGGAGAATTTTGAACATGTACAAAAGTAGTCGGAATGATATAACTCTTTTTATCCATTGCACTACTCCCTAAGCCATCAATTCATGGCCAATGCTGTCCCATTGTCAGCTACCTCTACCCTTTGGCTTTAAAATCTCCTCTACAAATGCACTTGCCCAACGTAAATGCATCAGTTCAGTAGATATTTAAAGAAACTTAATCATTAAATACAGAGGTTATTCTCCCCAACTTTTGTGTTTTGTGATTGATTTTTGAGCCTGAGGTGATGGGAAAATGGGAGCCACGGGTGAAGGCAGGGGGTGTGCACACTTAGTTAATCCAAAGCCAAATACTCTTATTAATAGCTGTACAACATGAATAAAGGGGATGACAAGACTTCCCCCAACCAGTTCGCCAGACTTCTGCCAGGAGCAACCAAGATAGTAGACGAGAAAGGCATGAAATATTTAGGCATTATAAACACTTTATAATTATATATTATAAACATTAATTTTATTAATGTTTAATTAATTATAATTAAACATTATAAACATTGTTAACATAACCAAATAATAAGACAAGAATAATACACGTCAGATTACTTGAAACCTTTTCCGCATAACCTTTTATTATCTCAATGGACTCCAGATAAATAGTACTCTTTCAGTCAGAAGTCACAAATTACCTCGTATCCTTTCACGCTGTCCCCCAGAGCTTCAACAATCCCAGAACACTCAAATCCTGGCACCAGGGGCGTCTTGGGAGGGTTGTCAATATTCCCTTGTCGCACCATCAAGTCAATGAAGTTTAAACCACTGTGAACAGGAAATGGGAAAAGAGAGAAATTCAAAGTGACATCCACAAGAAGGCACTGGCCTGGCTTTTCTTCCATTCCCTTCTCATCCCTTTCTCCCTCCCTTCATTTCTCTCTCCTTTCTTTCTTCTTTCCCTTTTTTTCTTTCTGCCAAAGTGTGCCTAAGAGCAACATCACTTAGCTAGATGTCATCATTAAAGCAAAACTCAATTATCTCTATAGACAAGGAATCCTTTCCAGCAGTTAAAATAGCAGGGGCAGAGTTTACACTCTAACTCAAAAGATAGCCCATTGTCCTCTCTCAGAGCCTCTTATGAGTGTTTAAAAACACAGATTGACTAGCTTGGTCCTTAGCCATTCTAGCACTTAATCGAGGGTAAAAAATATACTAGGAAGAGGTTATAAGAAGACACACGGAAAGCAGCCAGACACGATGGCCATCAGCCAATCTAGGAGAAAGACAGAAAGAAAAGGAAGACCTGACTTAAACGGTCTAAAAACGACTGTCACACCTCAGTCACCACACAAACTTATACCAGCACTGTGCCATCAACAGCTGCCACAGCAGTGAGCATGAGCCATCACGAGACTACGTCATGTCCAGCTGGAGGAGGGGGACTCAAAGAAGAGAGGTCAAAAGGATGGTCCAATGTTCATGGGTATACTGGAGGGTTTGTTTTAAAAATCTTAGCAATAAACCAATGTAACCGCAATTAAAAAAATTAAATAAAAACAAAAAATCTTAGTTATCTCTGGATGAGAGAAGTTATTAGGTATTTTCTATGAACATACTACTTTTCTTTTTCTTTTTTCTTTTTTTATCTTCTTTTTTGAGGAAGATTAGCCCCGAGCTAACATCTGCCACCAACCTTCCTCTTTTTGCTCAGGAAGACTGGCCCTGAGGTAACATCTGTGCCCATCTTCCTCTACTTTATATGTGGGACGTCTGCCACAGCATGGCTTGACAAGTAGTGCATAAGTCCGCAACTGGGATCCA